TATATATATAGCATGAAAATGTATTTAATAGCAAAGAGTTGCAGAGTAATATAACAGTCGCTATTCTTCATCATTCGTCTCAAACAGCCCGGAAGGTTAAGTGAAAGTTTTACACCCTGAGAAGTTTTTAGTGGAGTTTCATTTTAAATGCATCATCTTCAAGTCAAGTTACCCCTCGTTTGACCCTCAGTACACAGACCCAGATTTGCCTCTTAGTCATTGTGGCTTACTGTCATTGTCTTAGTCTTAGTGATTCATCCTCATTCGAATTTACAGTTGAAGTCTGTCATAATAAATTAGTTTTAAAATTACGAACAAACATTTATTGATTTTTCATTGTGCTCAAAGCCACCTGAAACTTATTTTTGCACCAGTTTAAATGACTTCTTTTAAATCTTATACCTATACTTTTTTTTAATACATGTAGGAAGGTCAACATTTTTTTTCCATGTATTTTTGTACAAAAACAGAATGACTGTTTTTGCTTTTTTAGAACACAAACCACTTTTCTAAACTGGTGCTAAACGTTGTATTAGGCTGCAGGWTGTCAAAACCCATTGCCTGTAAATTCCAATATGGACACAGTAACGTTTAAATAGGATGCAGGGCACTGTTGTGCAGATGTTTACATTGATTTTGCTTACACATGTGTTGCATGAACATGGTATTTTAAAGTCTGTCTTTTGGTGCAGTTTGTTTGTGATTTTGTGATTGCTATTTGAGTTGAGGAGTAAGATTGTGTGGGGAAAAAGAGTAAATTGTTGAATCTTCTTTGGGCATTTTGTGCTATCTTAACAAGTGTTTGGTCATTACGCTACAGTTCACTGGCTGGCGAGCAGGCTACTTGCATCTTTTTGAATGTAGTCAGCAGATAAGAGTTGTTAATCTGTTTTGACAGATTACCCCCTCCAGGCAAACTCTTGCCATATTTAAATGCTGCATTACTCTCCCAAAACACTTGACACACTTTTTTTTTAGTCAGTAAAAATAAAATGGAATTACAGCTCACAAGATACGATTACAGTTTGGTCCTCCAGTAACCAAGCTGGAGGGCCAGCTCGGCTAATATCACYGCCCTGACCTAATCCTTGTCTCTTTGTCCTACAGAACAAGATCATCCTGGATCCACTGACATTCAGCGAGGCTCGTTTCAGGCCCTCTTTGGAGGAGCGCTTAGAGAGCATCATCAGTGGTGCCGCGCTGATGGCCGACTCCTCGTGCACACGTGATGACCGCCGTGAACGCATTGTGGCTGAGTGCAACGCGGTTCGACAGGCCCTTCAAGACTTGTTGAGCGAGTACATGAACAATGTGAGTTTGCTCTTTAACCACTTAATACTCATTTGTTATTTGTCACCAGGCTTGTTTGTGTGGGCATGCGTTTGACATCACTTACATGACTTTTATTCCCATTCTAGTCATTTTTACGCTGTTAGTTCACCTGTTTTTCTGCAAATCTACACTATAATACACTTATTAGAAATAAAGAGTTTTTTATATATCTGTTGGTATAACGTGTGTGTAGACACAGCATGTTTATGTGTCAAACTTGGTCAAAACTGACATGCAGTGTTTCATATTGCTTACTGATCATTATTTAGAAATAAATGTAGCTTTTTCTATGGCAAGTTAGAATAGGCTATTCATGTCCTCATTGCATTTTTATTTTCACTTTCCCAAAACAGCCATTTTGTGAGCAGTAAGTCAAATTAGCTGTCACATTTAAAGCTGTAGGTGCTCTTTATATATGGCTTTGTTTTGTATCATACTTAATGACTTTACCAACCAATTGTAGCAGATAAGGAAAAATCCTAATAACATTCTTATATCAACCTGGTGAACCATTATTTTCACTTTCCCTGTACATATATACTGTCAGTTTACAGTCTTGTTAAGGAAGGGTATGATGAGGTGGCTGTTTAGCCACTTGATGCCAATTATTACAAGCAATTTAGATTAGAAGAGTTTAAGTGGTCTGGTTTTTCAGTTCCTAATTAAAATAAAACATTACTAAATTGAGTCAGCAAGCATCCTTTTGTTAATATTGGTTAATTATTACTTTAATAAAAGAAAATGCATGATACTTGTGAACTCTTGCACTYCAAACTAATCATTCTAAGGTATAAACTAAAAAAAGCCTAATAATCTGAAAAAGGGAACTGTATTTTTTTCAAGTAAGACAATGAGCTGCAGTAACAGTGAAGGGACCAGAGTTTGTGAAGAACTGCCCTTGGAAGACTGAGWAGTTGAGCACCTCATCCACCACTTTGAAAATGTAGGTCAGCTTTAAAGCAGCTTTTTTAAAAAAAATAAAGTCAATATAATGAAAAAAACACACACAACAGTTTAATTTTTTATCTTTCGCCCAAAGGCCTCTGCAGTTTGCTAATGGGTGATTCAACAGGTCACAAGGACCGCGTGCAACCCAAAATCCATCTTTTTTATTTGTTCCCCCAGTTCTGTTGAAAAAAAAAAACTTTACAAAATACATTTCTTCAAAAGGCTACTGTTTTGTAAACAGAAGATATATGGAACACATATACAGAAGTAAGTAKTATTTCTGCAGTAAAATAAGTTGGTGTCTTACTGTTGAAACCAGGTGTTTACAGATTATATAAAAAAGATACACAACCATTTATTCACCTACTGTCTGACATGAGGTTAGACTAAACCTTTCCAGTTTTAGGTCAGCTAGGATTCTCAAAACCATTTATTTTTATTAAATTATGAATGTTATTTTTTGCTTACTTCAAAGTCCCAAGTTTACATATATTAAGACTTATATGCCTTTTAATCAATTTGAGAAGGCTCATTCTTGGCAGATAACAAATAGTAATACTTTTCTTAAATGACATGAAACAGGAAATGTGTACTCTGATTTAATGTTATAAGACAAAAACAATGGTTATGTGTTTTTCATGTTAACATCAATTTTCTAACTGTCTCTGCAACAGCAGCCATAGTGATCTCAGTTTTTTGGAATCGGGAAGAATCAAGCTAATAACTACATAATACAGGATAAAGACCCTATACGTGTCCTTTAAATGTATGGCAACTACTGTTCCTGAGGGGAATAATCAAGCACCTTACATATTGATATAGAAAATATTATTATTTTTGTTCACTAGAAATAATATGTCTTTTAAAGTACCCCAACCTGAAATAATAAAAAAAAAAAACATCAAACAGGAATGTCTTTTTATTTTATTTTATTTTTTACAACTTCAGCTCGTGGGTCTTTAGTTTTACACAGCAAAGATTTATTTTTTTAAACCCACAATTTATTTTCTTAGGGTGGTTTTTGAGGAAAAAAAAACATCATAAGAAAAAAAAACTCTGAAAACAAATCAAACAAACAAAAACAAACTTCGCCCAGCCCCGTGATAAAAACCCAGTTGTCTGCAGGCATGAAATCCCTATTCACAATCAAAAATGCAACATGCTATAAAAAATAAAAGAGCACCTGCTTTGTTGTATCTGGGATTGACAGCATCCCATCCTTGTCATTTGGCAGTCAGGAGAAAACTTACTGTGATTGGACAGAGCTGCACTCCTCCTATCAGTAACAGAGATCAGAAGGTTTTGATTCCTGATACAGTAGTCTGGTACCAAAGTGTGTCTCAGATAAATCTGGATGGCTTTCACTGGAAGCATGCCTGCTGTTATTTTAATGCCAGTATCCTGTCATTATTTGCTGCAGTTTTATATTGAGAATATCCAATGGAGCAGTATGCATTTAATTTTAACATTGTATTTTAAGTGTAGCTTCAGTTTGCTAAATCGCTGAAAAAAGTATTTTTTTTTCTATAAAACCTTTCAATGTTCAGAAACTCTTGTCTCCCGATACTTGTCCTAAGAAAAAACTAAAATCATGAGTGTTTTTTGAACACCCACAAGCTTTTTCCTTTCTTAAGTCATGACAGCTTTTTGCTAAAGTAATTGTGCTTTGGTTCATTTGGCCTGTGAGTTGTGCTTCAGAGGCTACAGCTGGAAGATTGTGGACAGCCTCTGGCTGTCCAAGCTACAAGCTGAGAGCGAGTCAAGGAAACAATATGTGCAAAACTGCCTCTTTTTTTATCTAAGCTTCTCCAATCAAGGTAAATCAGCAACTTGTAGACCATTTAAAGCATACTTTACTGTGTTCAGCCCAACTATGGATTATTATAGGAAAAAACATTGCCATTTAAAATAAAGCTGTAATTAGTCAATGAGTGCTAAAAAAGTATGTGAGATATATATATA